GGCAAAAGAGACATTAACCAAAACAGAGAGACAACTTACTGATTGGGAGAAAATTTTTGCACACAGTACTATGTATAAAGGACTGATCACAAGGATATACAAAGAGCTGATGTGACTCAACAAAAATAAAGTAAACCAACGGTCAAAAAATGGACAAAAGAGCTAAAAAGTCACTTCTCCAGAGAGGAAATGCAAATGACCAACAGATACATGAAAATATGTCCAACATCACTTGTAATCGGGGAAATGCAAATCAAAACCACAATGAGAGAGTACCTTATACCAGTGAAAATGGTACATATTAAAAAAAAAAACAGGCAACAACAAATGTTAGTGAGGATGTGGAGAAAAAGTAACTCTGTTACACTGCTGGTGGGAGTGCAAACTGGTCCAACTACTATGGAAGGATGTGTGGAGTTTCCTCAAACCACTAAAAATGGAGCTTCCATATGACCCAGCAATTCGACTCTTAGAAATCTACCCAAAGGACACAAAACTTTAATTCAAAAGGACACCTGCACCTCTATGTTTATTGCAGCACTTCTTACAATATGAAAGCTATGGAAACAACCCAAATGCCCCAAAATAGATGACTGGATAAAGAATATGTGATACACACACACACACACACACACACACACACACACACACAATGGAATATTATTCAGCAATCAAAAAGATAAACTCATGGATGGAGCTAGAAGGGATTATGCTCAGTGAAATAAGCCAGAAAAAAAAATATTGGCTGGTTTCACTTATAGGAAGAATATAGAGGAAACAAATACAAGATCAGGAATAAATTAATTACAATAAATTAAAAAAATGTCAGGCAACTATAAGTCAGAGACATTTTGCAGGGAAGGGGAAGGAACAGGGATCAAAATAGGGGAGGGAAGAGCACAGGGACTATGGTGATGGGTCACAGGTGAATTGGTGGGAATTCTACAGGGACTATACCAGAGGGGAGAAAGCATACATTGTACAAAAAGGAAGAATAATGTAAAATATGAATATATATTTTAAAAACCTTATTTTTGCACAGTTCTCTTGTCCACCTGTGACTATAGAGTTGCCTCTGTGTTTCTTTCTCCTTTCCTAATAAACCTGTCCTTTAAAATGCTTTTTTTAAAAAAGGTGACTATTTCCATTTATTCTATTTCCAGGAAGGGCACAGAGATTGCAAAAGATCATTGCCTTCACCCTAATACTGAGAAAGCACTGGTCTAAAATATCTCATTTTCCCTTAAAGTCACCAAAGAGTGGTGGACATTAAAAGGCCAAAATAATTAAATTTTAGAGATGGACTAAACATTCTTAAATAAATTAGAGACTAGAGGACACTTTCATGCTTGGTGGTATTTGCAAGTTTGGGGTCTGGCAGATAGAGAAGCAAACCTCCCAAGGGCATAGGTAAAGAGACTTCTGGGACAAAGAAAAAGCAATCCAATTTTCACAGCTTTGAGTGAGCTAGCATGGTGGTTTGGAGTATAGAGGAACCTCAAAGTCTATACTCCCACCAGCTGGTTCTCTCCCATGAGACTTGGGCTTAGACCCCACAGTGTAGCTAAGGGCAAAAGCTGAAATTCCTAAGTAAGATATTTGAAATTTTAGTGAATTGAGAGGAATTAAATCTGCAATCAGAAAGAAGTTCTGTCCATGAATGAAATCAATAGTGTTAAGCTGTCACTAGTCTCCAAATTGATCTATTGTTCCAATGCAGTCTGAGTCAAAATCTCAGCAAGCTTTTTTTTTTTCCCTTTTTCTGATATATTGACAAGCGAGTTCTAAAACATGCAAAGGACCAATTGCAAAAGATGATTTGAATAATAACAAAATTGCAGACTTACACCACTAGATTAATAAATGTTATAAACTTAAGATGTTAATATTGTACTATGCAGGGCTTGGTAATGCCAACACCAGGCACAGATGCCCGAAGCCCAAGGGGTTAGGCAGAGAAAACTATGATATGACGTTGGTCAGCTCGACTGTAGCATCTTTAACCTGTCTTCTGGAATGGGGGCTTTTCAGCTGGAGTACAGGGCCTCTCATTCACCTCAGAAGCCCAGTCCTACAGAGGGGGTGTGTTTCCAGCCCCACACTTAATATACTCCTCTGTGCAGCACAATAGTATTGCCACCACAACAGTACTTTCTGTTTCTCCTGACCACCTGTGGAGCCTCAGACAGAGCTTTCAGACATCACTGTGTTCTGTTACTTAAAGAACAAGATTTACTGTGGATTAAATTATGTCCAGAACTAGCATTTCCAATTCTTTTGTCATTTGGTAATCAGACATTAAACTAATCTAATAGTCCCATAGGATGAAATCCCCAGTTTCCTAATACAAACTACCAACAATGCCACTGCTGAAGGCTCCTAGGCAATCCACCGTGTCTAGACTGAGGAGATAATATAAAAAATTGAGATTACCGAGGGCAGTGAGTATTGTATAATACTGTATAATATACAATATATATAGTATAATACAATATTGTATAATAGCTTCTTCTGTTGTAGAGTTAGATTATTGATATTTTTCTTGCTTTTTAAATATGAGCCTGTATTGCTATAAACTTCCTTCAAAGCATTGTTTTAGAACATCTCAGGATATGGTAGCTTGTTTTTCTGATACAGGGTGGCAAGGGGCACTAAAACTGGCCAAGGACACTGCCTAAATTGTTTAGCGGCCTCTCCTGAGTTCTTCAACTGCGCGCACAATTGCAAGACTACCCAGGTTCAGAGAACAATAATAGAATTTATTTAACAAACCAGGGAAAAACAAAGTTACTGAGACTAAAAATGGCCATTTACCTCACCAGAACCAGTGTTCAGTGTTTTAAAGTCCTAACCACAAAGGCTCCCAAGATGGCATCTTCCTGCCACTGAGGACAAAGAGCATGTGGCCGCCAGACTATAACTCAGGATCCAATTCACAAAGACAGCAGAAGACACATCAGGAGACACTCACTAGAGCTGCTGAGATGCCCCAGCACAGCACCAGACAAGCGAGACTTGAAAGAGCAGCTGCAGTGGTCCAACTACCTGACAAATGGCCACACTCACACTGCTCAGTGAAGTGCCTGCCTCCAGGTCTTTGCCTTCTCTGCCAGGCTGTAACAGCAGCAAAACCAGGATCAGTTTCAGTTGCTCCGCTACTTGCAAAGCCTCCGAACATTTCCTCCCGAGGTTGGCTGCTGGAAGCCTCTCCATTTCCTTTGGAGGCGTGTAACAGTCTTCTGGAGGATCTGCATAGTTGGGGCAGAAATCGCTGACCCCAGAATTGCTGAAGATCCAAAAATGCTGAAATCCCAAATGCTGATTCCTGAACACTGAGTTCTAGTGCTGCTTCTGCAGTCCCTTATATTTCTTATCAGAGTCTCCACCCCAAATGAGATACTTTGTTCATATTTTCCCTGGGGCTATCCACCCTCACCAGCACACCCTTTAGGGGGCACCATCTATAACAGTCTTTGGCTTTAGGCACTGGTTACATTTCTATTTTCATTAGTCTCCAGATGCTTTTTGATTTCTTCCTTAATTTCTTTACTGACCCAGCAGTAGTTCAGAAGTATTTTGTTTAGTCTCCAAACGTTTATTCTGGGATTTTCTTTGTGGTTAATTTTCTAGCTTGGTGCCATTGTTATCTGAGAAGATACTTGAAATAATTTCTATTTTCATATAAAATATATGTGTCCCAGCATATGTTCGATTCTTCAGAATGTTCCATGTGCACTTGAAAAGAACTTTCATTCCTTTCTTTGGGGATGAAAAGCTCTGTAAATGTCTGTTAAGTCCATCGGGTCCAACACTTCATTTAAAGGCTTTATTTTCTTGTTAATTTTCTGTCTGGATAATCTGTCCCTTTGTGTCATCAGTGTGGTGAGGTCTCTGATAATAACTGTGTTTTTGTCAATACGTTGTTTTGGGTTTGTTAATGTTGCATTATATAAAATGGGTGCCCCTATGTTAAGTGCATAAATATTAATGAGTTATATTGTCTTGATAAATTATTCCCTTGATCATTATTACAGTGTCTTTGTCCCTAATCACCTTTCCTGACTGATAGTCTACTTTTATCTAACATGAGAATAACAGATCCTGCTTTTATTTCTGCGTTTTTGACTTATAAGAACTTGCTCATAACTTTCTCTTTGTTTTTCTCTTTCAGTTTTAAATGAGTCTCTTGAAAGCACAGTATGGATGGATGAAAAAAAATTTTTTAAAAGATTTATTTATTTATATAAGAACCGGGGCACAAGCCAGATGCACAGGAGGGTGAGAGGATTCACCAGAGCCAGAGCAGGGAACAGAACAGGCAGACGGACCGAAATACATTGCTGAGAGGAGCAGCGGGCGAGACAGGAGAGGTCTGCTTCGCCATGTGGGATTCTCGCCAGCCGGCCGGGATCGAACCAGCACTGCAGAGGCTGAGAACAGCTTCACAGCGCGGCGCTCAGGGGACTCCCAGATGGATGAAAATTTTTAACCCAACCTATCATTCTGTGCCTTTTGGCGAATTTAGGCCATTCACATTTAGGGTGATTATTAATACATAGGGATCACTTACTGTGTTCTGTTTTTTTATTATTATTTTTGATGGTTTTATCTTTCTCTTTCAATTTTTTCTCTCTATTCTTTGATTTGGATGACTTCCCTAGTGTTGCTATCTAATTCTTCATTTGTGTTTGCTTAGTGGTTACCACAGGAGTTATGCCTAACCTACTGTCTAAAAAATTCTTTATGACCAGGTGTCAACTTTCTATTATTTGATTATATATGCTTTCCAATATTTGCTTATATATGCTTCCTCCTCTTTAGTATTTTGTTGACTCATAACATTCTTGTTCATGCTTCTGACTTTCTTTATTCCTATTGTCTATGCCACCCGCTGTTCCCAGCGCCCTGTCCCCCAACAGTTGTGGTTCTTAGAGGATGCGCAGGTTCCACTTGGCTCTGGCACTACTTGTCCCCCAATCATCTAGGCAGCCCCAAAGTACCTGCGCTTCTCCAGGGTGCACCGCAAAGTCCTGTTCTCTGGCCGGCTCACTCGCACCAGTCAGGGTGTACCTCCTCCAAGAAGTATTCCCTGATTTCCCGCCCCTCCACAAGGCTGATCTACACGCCTCCCTATCGCCGCCTTAGCTCCGCGTCCCGTCCGGGCAGGTATTCTCCGCCCCTCGGCTTGGGCCCAGCAGGGCTGGGCACACTTTGGGGGTAGGGGCTGTGTCACAATCGTCTTTGTAGACGGAGCCGCTAGCCAATCAGCAGCGCCTCCGAAGCCGCGCTAACTTCTCCCCGCAGAGGAGCAGGCGCCCTCCCTTTGCGTGCCTTTCATCCCGGGCGGGGGTGACGGGGATCCACTTGGGGCGACCAAGGATTCCGCACAGCACGGGGCAGGGGGTGGGGTTTGCTGCCGGCCGGGCCTTCACGCCCCAGCGCTCGCGCCGCCCCCGGGAAGCCGGGCCCGAAGTGACGCAGTCCGTCCGCGCCCCCGCGCTGCGCGGTGCCTACGTCAGCAGCCGGGGCGGGGTTTGGGGGTGCGCGCGGTCGTCATAACAACGCCGCCGCCCAGGCTGGGGGTAAAGAGCATGCGGAGCACCCCTGAGGAAGCCGCCCGGCCCGAGTCCGGGGCCCCTTGTCCCGTCCCCTCTCCCGCCCCTGCTCTCTCCTCGACTGCGACCGGTGGTTGCGGTAAGAAGCCGGGTGTCCTTCGGGGACGCCTGGTTCGGAGCAAACGCGCGAGCGGCGCCGGGGCCCCAGCTGTCGGGTCGCGCCCGCCGTCCTCGGAACAGCCGCCGGCCAGAGGCGGCGCGGCGGGGGGCGGCCCTGGGAACCGCGGCTGCAGCCTCAGCTTAGGGACGCCCCCAGAGGTGGGCTGGAGGGGACACCCAAGTTCCCCTGAAGGCCCGTCCTTCACGGGATAGAAAATCCTCGACCCTTTGCTCGGAGGGTCTCGGAGAAGGAGCCCGGGAGCGCTTCTGGACCTGCTCTTTGTGGCAGCTCCGGAGAGCGGGGTCCTGGTGAGCAAGTCTGGGGCTCCTGCTGACTTGCCGCCTCTGCGTGACTGACTTCTGCGCGCATGAATTCTCTCTAGCAAATGAAATACAGCCTGCCTGTCCCTGCTCTTTAATCTCGCCCCCCCCGAACCCCTGTTTTCCATTTGGGATGCTTGCTTTAAAGTATGTGCTTCTAGATAAGGAGCTGCACCAGAAGCCGGTCGTGTGTATTCCTCCCTGCACGCGCGACAGAGGCGGTTAGGGCTCCCGCCAGCCCGAGGGGGAGTTTAAGTGTCTTGTTCAGTCATACAAATGATTCTGGAGACGCACCCAAGTCTGACAATCCACCCTGGGATATTTTGTTCTCGAATAGGAGGGTATAGGGAACAGCCTCCAAAAGAGCCCTTTCTCTAAATATTTTTAAATGTTACTAGGTGGAAATTATTTGGAATCCAGGGGTTAGGTGTGGATGAAAATGAAATTTGGGTGAGGTTCTAAACACATTGTCCCGCATAGCTAGCGTTTACAATTTGAAGACTGATTTGTTATTTTTCTCTTATGTGACTACAGTAGGGAAATAAATATTTGCACCATAAAATCTTAGCTTACAGTAGTATTTAAGTGAATTTTAAATTCAGCAGAAAAACAAATAATTTTAAAATGATCAGTCCGTGGTAGTTACGGGACTATTCATGTAACTATTCTTATGTTTAGCCTATACTCTAAGACTCCTTCATGTCTTCACAAAAACAGGAGCTGTAAGTCTGACATTTCTGCATTCCCAGATGTGATGCTGTCAGCTGAAGGTAGGCAGTGACTCAGATTCTCTCTTTTTTTTTAAAGATTTATTTATTTATTTATACAAGAACCGGGGTGCAGGCCAGATGCGCGGGAGAGTGAGAGGATTCACCAGTGACAGAGCAGGGAGCAGAACAGGCAGACTGGCAAAATACACTGCTGGGGGGAGCAGCGGACGCGCCAGGAGAGTTCTGCCAGGCCATGTGGGACCCTGGATGGCCAGCCTGGGTAGAACCGGCGCTGTAGACGCTGCGGACAGCTTCACAGCCCGGCGCTCAACCGCCTGCGCCACCAGCAGAAGCCCCCTCACCTCTTTTCAACACAGAAAATGGTAGTAGCCAGAAAGAAGCCCAGAGCAGCCAACTTTCAACTTCTGTTTGAGATCTTGTCTTTGAGATCTACTTTCTGCTGTGTGTATTTCCCTGGATGCTAAATTGCATCTGGGGAATAGATTGCATTCCTATGGTCACAGCAATCTGGGAAATGGCTAATCTTACCCTCCATCCCCTCCAGAATCAATAATTTGAAGTCTGTGCACCTCTGCATTTTAAGTGTCTTCAGTATATAGATAGGGCTCTGTCTAACTTGATTTTATTCAACATTACTCAAACTTACTTGACAATAAATCCCATTCTGCTTAGAACATCTTTAATCATCTTGTAGATTAGCATTCTACAGAACACATGTGGCCTTTGTTATATTGAGGTATGTTTCAGCTATCCCCAGTTTTTTAAGCGTCTTTATGTTAAATCGATGTTGAATGTTAAACCCTTTCTCTACATCTACTGATATGATCGTATGATTTTTTCATCTTTTGTTGATGTGGTGAATTGCATTGATTCATTTTTGGATATTCAGATAAGTAGTATCTTTATTTTTGATTGTCTCCAGGTATTTTTTAGTTTCTTTTTTGATTTTTTTCAAATCGAAATTTTTAGTTCTCAGTTTCCACATATTAGAGATTTCACCTGCTTTCTTTTTGTTGTTGATTTCTAGCTTGATACCACTGTGACCAGGGAAGATACTTGATACAATTTCAATCTTAATGAATTTCTTGTCACTGTGACCCAGTCATGTGGTCTATCCTGGAGATGTTCCTTCCATGTGCCCTTAAGTGTACTCAGTTTTCTTGTGGTGCAGTGTACTATAAATGTTAAGCCTATGTGGTCTGATTCCTCATAAGACTATTGTTTTCTTGTTTATTTTTTGTGTAGCTGATCTGTCTGTTTGTAAAAATTGAATCCCCCTACTACTGTTATGTTGCCACCAATATCAGTTTTGTTGTTGATAATAGTTGTCTTGGGTCTCCCTGGTGGTGTAGGCAGTTGGGCGCCTCACTATGAAGCTGTCTGGAGCCTCTACAGTGCAGGTTTGATCCTGACCGGCCAGCGAGGGTCCCACATGGCGCGGCAGACTTCTCCTGTCATGCCCGCTACTCCCCTCAGCAGTGCATTTTGTCAGTCTGCCTGTTCTGTTCCCCACTCTGTCTCTGGTGAATCCTCTCACCCTCCCACACATCTGGCCTGTACCCAGTTCTTGTATAAAAATAAATAAATCTTGGGCCTCCCCGGTGGCGCAGCGGTTAAGCACTGGGTTGCGAAGCTGCCCGCAGTCTCTGCAGCACCGGTTCGATCCCCAGCTGCTCCCCGGCCACTGGAGGAGGGTCCTACATGGCACGCAGACCTCTCCTGCCACCCGCTGCTCCCCTCTGCAGTGTACTTCGGTCCTTCTGCCTGTTCTGTTCCCCGCTCTGGCTCTGGTGAACCCTCCCGCGCTTCTGACTGTACCCAGTGCTTGTATAAATAAATAAATAAATCTTTTAAAAAAAAATAAAAATAAATCTTTAAAAAAAATTTAAAAAATTAAAAAAAAAGATAATAGTTGTCATATATTTTGCTGTTCTTTCACTTGGTGCATATATATGTCCATAATGTTATGTCTTAGTAATGTATTGATCCCATAATCATTATATAAAGTCCAACTCTGTCCCTTGTAGCTTTTGTTTAGCTAGAATCCTGTTTTATGGCTGTCCCTGCCTTTTCTGGGGAAGAGGTGGGAGTTCTCTTTGCTTGTAGGATTGTTTTTCAGCCATTTACTTTGAGCCTGTGTTAATCTTTTGAGCTCAGATAAGTCTTCTGGAGATAGCAGACATTTGGGTTTGTTTGTTTGTTTGTTTGCTTTTTTCCTGATCTTACCAGATACTCTGCCTCTGGGTTGTTGAATTCAATCCAGTTACATTTAGGGCGAAAATTGATATATGAGGCTTTGCTACTACCATTTTGTCTCTAGATTTCTGGTTCTATCTATTTCCTGTTTCAGTTTTTGTGGTTGTTGATTTTCTCTTTAAATTAAATAGAAGAGTACTTTTCAACATTTCTTATGTGGAGGCCTTGTGTTGACAAACTACTTCAACTTCTCTTTGTCTGGTAAGCCTTTATTTCTCCCTCATATCTGAAGGTGATTATTTTTTAAAGATTTATTTATTTATACAAGAACTGGGGTATAGGCTAGAGGTGTGGGAGGGTGAGAGAATTCACCAGAGACACAGTGGGGAGCAGAACAGGCAGACAACTGAAAACGCTGCTGAGGGGAGCAGTGAGCAAGACAGGAGAGGTCTGTCACCGCATGTGGGAATCTCCCTGGCAGCCAGGAATGGAACTCGCACAGCGGATGCTGTGGACAGCTCCACAGCGCTGTCCTCAACCCGCTGCACCAATGGGGAGGCCCCTGAAGGTGATTCTTATAGACTATAGTATTCTTGGCTAACAGACAATTTTTGCCTTTAATTTTTTCAGGATGTTATTCCATTCTGCCCTTGCCCACAGAGTTTTCTCATAGGTGTCTGACATAAACCTACTAGGAATACCTTTATTGGTAACCTATTTTTTTCCATATCCGTTTTCAATATTCTTTCTTGGTCTCAAACTCTTGGAAGTTTCATGACTATGTATCTTGGTGTGGGTCTCATTACCCTAAGCTAACCATCTGTTCTTTCTTTTTGCTTTATGGACTTGTATATTTAGTTCCTTCCCCAGGTTAGGAAAGTTTATCTTTATTATTTCTTTGAATAGGTTCTCTGTTTACTTCTTGCTTTCTTCCCCATTCTGGAATACCCATTATCCTTATGTTCCCTTTCCAATGGAGTCTGATAATTCTCAAGATATTTCTTCTTTTTTTAAACTTGATAGTTCTCTTTCTTCTTGATTCATTTGTGCATTATTATTTTCACATAGCAGCTGTAAGATTTGATCCTCAATTTGGTATAATCTGCTTTTATAGTTTTTGCAGAATTTATCTCCTCTACTAGTCTTTTTACATCTTTTATTTTCTTTAAATCCTCAATTTGTATTTTTTTTGGTTAGTTGTATTTCTAAGGACTTTCATTTGTTTTTCTGAGTTTTGTTGTATCTCTCTGCTTAGCTTTTTAGAGTTCTTTTTTTATTGCTTTGACTTGTTTTTCTTCACTTTCACCCATTTCTTTGAATTTCTTTATCATGGTGATTTTTCACTCACTCTATTTAGGAAGATAAAATCTTACATATTATATGGTTGAATTATGGGAGTTGTCCTCTACATGTGGTGTCATATTCCCTTCAGGTCTAAAGTTGCCATGTGGTGTGATTTTTGGTTGGCTCATCTTGCTGTTTTAGATCTCAGCGACTTGAACTACTATCACTTTCCAAAAGTTGGCATTCTGATTTTTATGTAATTTTAGGTATGACACCTAATCTTGCAGCTACTGAGTTGGTGTGAGGGAGGAGTTTGGAGGGGCCAAACCACTGGTCTGAATGGGTAGAGGCAGGCTCTTGTTTGTGGCACTGATGATAGCCCTCCCCTCTGGGATTCCAGACCCAAGATACTACTGTCTTTATGTGTTCTTAGTATCAGTTCCAAAGGTTGGGGGTGGGAGAGTCCAGCACACTGTCATTGTTCCTTTCACTGGGGACCTAGTCTGCTGGGCACATCCTAGCTCCTTTGTATGCATTTCCCCTCAGTCTTCACTATATGCTTCCATGTGTTAGGTTCTCACATCACTGGGGCCACTAGCTGAGTGGTGCCATAGTTTGTACGGCAGCCTCCTACCCTGGACTACAGCCTCCAAGTGTCTCTTTCCAACCATTTCTTGTTTACTGAAGCATGAGTGTATTCTGTGTCCTTTCTGGTGCAGTCTGCCTGGTCTCTACTGTCCAAGAGGTATTCCAGTTTTTTTCCCAAGCCAGTGGGTGCAGTACTGCACGGGTTAATCTAGATAACCCTCTGAGGAGCTACGCAAGGGACTTCCTCTGAAGCCATCTTGTATCCTCTCCACCACACAGATCTTTTTGAGTTAGTTTTTTTATTTCCTCCAGGAAATAACACAAGTGGAATTGCTGTATCATATTTTCTTTTTGATATTGAAGTTTCCAAATGGTTTAAAATTAAGTCTTAAATTTATGTCTTAAATTTAACTTAAAGCTTATTTTAAAAGACTGTAAAGGAAGTTCATTTTCATTTTTAGTATAATTTTCCTCATCTTAAATCTTGCTTTGCAAATTCATTTTGCAATCTGTTTATTTTATATGTTATGGAAATCACTCAGCAAAGTGCATATCTGAAATGGAGAGAATTAGAGAAGCTGACTCCTAAGACGCCAGACTAGTTGAGTAAATCTCCCAGTACAGAAAACAAACACAGACAGTGGTGTGTGATAGTAAGAAAAGTAACAGCTTAGCTTTCATTGCCACCTTCCCCAAAGGACTGGTCCTCACAAAGATGTTTTGAAGTCATGTTAAAAACAGTAAGACCATTAAGGAAAACTGCTAGTATAGTAGAGGAAGATCTCAACTCCTGCTTTGTTTCTGTCCTCTCCATTAAGGACTGACAACAAAAAAGTCTAGTTTAGAAAGAGGAAATGGAAGACCAGACAAGGTAAAGAGATTCTGTGAGACAGATCTCAGTTTGGCATTAGGAAGGAAAAACAGAGCTATAGTCACAGTTGCTAAGAACTTGGGTGGTACAGAGGGCTCCCAAGAAGCCTATGGGACTTGGTGGTCTTTCACATTCCTTTTGAGATTGTCACTCTAACCCAGAGTGGTATTGTAGAAAGAGGTTTTAGTGTCAATTTGATTCTGTACTCTTAACATTGTTAGATGCATGGACAAAATATTAATTTTCTGTGGACATCATTTTCATCAGTCACCAGGCCTGTGACATATTAGAGGTTAGTTCTTCTTTTATGTCACAAGTGAGTGTCTATACACTCTCACTGGGATCTTCTGTGGCCTTAGTTTCCAAACAGGAGTTTTATTCTCTTGTATTCCTCACTTCTATTTTTCTTCTTTCTCTAGCCTTGATTGTTTTGTTTTCTTCACCGCGCTGACTGTATGTGTGTACACACTTACTCATATCTTTGAAAGAAGTGTAACTTTCTTTTGAAAAAGGAAATCTCCTGGAATAATTGGTACATGATTAAGGGTATTGCTTTTATTTTTTCAGAAGATCCCACACCTATGGGCAATCTCCAAGGATTTTATTCTAATAAATGTATAGAATTGTCTCAGAAAACCAACCCTTACATATTGCGTATACTCCAAGAAGTGGATGAAGAAATTGAAAAAGGGTAAGGAAGACAAAAATTTGATTGCATCAGTAATATTCACCAATACTTGTTTGTGTGAAAATCCTGGAATGCTGAGTGATTTTAATTTGAAATGCCTGTTTAAATGAACGTATCTGGATCAGAGAAGTAGATAAGTAACACTGTTAGCAGATATTACTTTTGGAAAAAGCATAGTAACACTTCTTTTGCTCTCCAGATTTATCCTTAATTCCTATGAGATGGGTTTATTTGTGCAAATCATTGAAATCATTGTCATTATCTTAAGTGAGGATACTTTATTTTTTGTGTGTGAGAAATAGTATATATTAATGCACTTTGCAAAATCTATGAAATATTCAGTAGTTTTAATTTATCTGCTATAAATATTTTGGGGTACATCCTTGCTTTCAGTAAATGCAATCCATGATGTTACTATTTACACTTGAATAAATAAAACATTTTTGTTTTACTGCATTTCTTTGTATTTCAGGATTTTTTTTTTTATCTTAACAGACTGGAAGGAATCACATTAAACATTGCTGGTAATAATCGCTTAATACCAGTAGAAAGAGTAACAGGTGAAGATTTTTGGGTTCTTTCTAGAATTTTAAAGAACCCACGTATTACTGGTATGGCTCCTTTAGAATGATTATCTCCTGCCTTTTTTCTTCCTGATTTTAAGTATTCAGTATAAGCAAAAATATCAGTTTCTATTCCTCTGTGTTCTTCAGGTTTGGATGCTAGCTATAATGTGATAAGTGATGTTGGCGCTTACTATGCTGCAAAACTGCTTCAGGTATTTTACTGCAAAATGTTCTCAAGTTTTTTCTTTCCCTTTCCAGGAGCTTGTTAAGAAACAGTCCTTTCTTTGGATTATGCAGAGTTTGAGCATCCAAGTCCTGCTAAGCTAACCCTTTATTGCAGACTACTTTGGAGACACCCAATCTAAACATGATGCATTGTGGTTGTATTTTATAACCTGGTAGTGTGTTCTATCAGTTAGAGTAGGTATAATCAAAGAAAAACTCTTTATTTTTTAATCTCAAGAGATTGACAAATATGTGTTTATTTTCAATTAAAATATTTAGAGCAGTATATAATTTTTATTTCTCCCTTAAGCTGTTTTTTAAATGTTCTAACTATTGATACATGTCCCAAATCTGCTAAAAGTACTTCTGATGAGTTAAAATGCTCTTAAAATCGCTATATCCATGAAATAGCATCAGGACAACATCTGGACAACATCAGGACAAAGTGAAAATTTAAAAAATATGAAGTAACCAAGTTATTCTTAGCTATCACAAATAGATGTGCTGCAAAAATCATCATCATTGAATTATTCTTAGTTCTGTGTACAATGAAACTACTTAATCTAATGGCAAGCAGGCAAAACACTCCTTACTCTGGGCTATATTTATAACACTTAAAATACACAGAAACCCATTTATGTAGATGATCTCAGTAGAGCTGGTACCTAGATTTCCTAAGTTATCTTTTTGCAATGATTTTTTGTACCTTTTGTTTTACACTGGTTAGATAAAGCACATCCATACTTTGAATTATCGGTCAAAACTAAATGTAGTATTTTTCTCTCATTTGTATTAAAATTATTTATGTTTAATGAAAGTGGCAATTTCCTCCCCCCCCCTTAATTGTAGTGTCTTTTGCTTACATCAAATTATAAAAACTAAATGCTGGCCTCTGCCCTCAGTCCTTGACTCCTGCAACCCTTGTCATTCTTATGTGGTAAGAACATTAAGGGCAAATTTTGTACTCTTGAGGTGGCTTTGATTGGGCTCCTGAATGTGAGGTGATCACCAGAAAGGCCAAGTCATAATTAGAAGCTTGGAATTTTCATCCATCCCATCCCCTCTGCCTTGCCCCAAAGAGGGTGAAAGGACTGGAAACTGCTGTTAATAACTGACAATGCCTAAGTAAGCAAATCTCCATGAAAATCCTAAAAGAACAGAGTTCAGAGAACTTCCAGACTGAATATATCAACATCTGGAGACAGAGCTCTTAACACCTGGGACCCTCCCAGATCTTGCCCTATGTATCTTCATTTGGCTCTTCATCTGTGTCCTTTATCAATATCATTTAATAAATTTGTAAACATAAATGTTCCCCTGAGTTCTTTGAGCCACTCTAACAATTTAATCAAACCTGGGGAGAAGGTTGTGGGGACCTCTGTTTTATAGCCTTTTGGTCAGAAGCACAGGTGATAGGCTGAGCCTACAACTAGCATCTAAGTAGGGTGGGAATACCTTGTGGGGCTGAGCCTGTAATCTATGTGATCTGACACAGTCTCCAGGTACATAGTGTTGGATTTGAGTTAAATTAGGGCACCCAACTGGTGTAGCAGAGAATTGCTTGGTGGTACTAGAAGTGTGAGAGTGGAAGTAGTGTAAGTGTAAAGAAGAAACATAGGAGTAGGATTTTTTCCCCAAAACAGCTGAACTTTAAGGTTTTCCAGGTTGTAAATATTTTTTTTCTGAAGGCGAACACTTTTGCTTAACTAAAGCAACTCAAATATATATACTTTTGATTGATTTCTAATAATACATGTTTAATAACTTCTCTTCCTATAGAAACAAGTTAATCTCACTTATTTAAACCTTATGTTTAATGATATTGGACCTGAAGGTGGAGAATTGATTGCTAAAGCACTACATGTAAGCATTTATATACCTCAAACTAACAATGGGAATTTTGACTTCTGAGAGAGCAAACGGAATCAAATGTTAATGTGAACTTACGTTACTTTCAGTAAATGGGAATGCATATTTTACTGCACCTTAATTTATTAAAATGTAGACATGAGCACTTTTGAGCTTTTATTTTTTTATAATGTAAATAATTTATCTATTTTTTATTAATTTTTTTTACATTATTTTTCATTTTTAAACAATATTTGCTTCCCACCACCCCCTCAGGTGTAGTCCCCATAGAGTTTCCTTTACCAATGCACCCGTGCACCATCACCTCAGTCCCCTGTGCTCCTCCTTCTGTTCCTCTGACCCCTCTCCCTCTTCCTCCCCTACAGTATGTCTCTGATTATAATTGTCTGGTTTTGCTTTGTTGTGTTTTGTACTGCTATTATTTTTTTACACTGATGTCTTATTGGATTCCCCTATATTCCTCTGCTTTAAGTGAAACCATCCAATATTTTTCTTTTTCTTTCTGGCTTATTTCACTGAGCATAATTCTTTCACATTGCTGTGAATGGCATGAGTTTATTTTTTTTTTGATTGCTGAATAATATTCAATTGTGTGTATATACCGCATCTTCTTGATCCAGTCATCTATTTTTGGGCATTTGGGTTGTTTCCAGGTTTTACCTATTGTAAATAGCGCAATAAACATAGGAGTATAGGTATTTTTGAATCAATGTTTTTGTGTCCTTTGGGTAGATCACCAGGAGTGGTGGTAGCTCCATTTTTAGTAGACTGAGGAACCTTCAGACAGCTTTCCATAGTGGTTGGACCAGTTTGCACTCCCACCAGCAATGTAGGAGAGTTCCTTTTTCACCACATCTTTGCCAACATTTGTTGTTGCTTGTTTTTTTGATATGTGCCATTCTTACTGGTGTGAGGTGGTATCTCAATGTGGTTTTGATTTGCATTTCCATGATTATAAAGGATGTTGAACATTTTTTCATATACCTGTTGGCCATTTGCATTTCCTCTTTGGAGAAATGTCTGTTAAGTTCTTCTGCCCGTTTCTTGACTGGATTGTTAATTTTGTTTTTGTTGAGTCGTGTGAGTTCTTTGTATGTTTTTGTGATCAGTCCCTTATCAGTTGAATGGAGTGAAAAGATTTTTTTCCCAATCCATGGAGTGTCTCTCTGTTTTGGTTAATGTCTCTTTTGCTGTACAGAAGCTTTTCAGTTGAATGTAATCCCAGGTATTTATCTTTGCCTTGACTATCTTTGCTCTGGGTGATGAGTCTTTACAGATGTTATTGCGATGTATGTCTTATAGTGTTTTACCTATATTTTCTTCTATATATTTCATGGTTTCAGGTTTTATGTCCTGTTCTCTTATCCATTTTGAGTTGATTTTTGTGCACAGTGATAGGTAGTGTTCTAGTTTCATTTTTTTGCATGTGGTGGTCCAGTTTTCCCAGCACCATTTATTGAACAAACTGTCCATGTTCCATTGCATGCTCCTTGCTCCTTTGTCAAAGATCAGTTGTCCATATAAGTGTGGCTTTATTTCTGGGCTCTCTATTCGGTTCCATTGGTCTGTGTGTCTGTTTTTGTTCCAGTATCAAACTGTTTTAATTATTATGGCTTTGTAGTATAGCTTGGAAGTATGATACCGCCTTTCTCCTATATTTTCATCAGTAGGGCTTTGGCTATTCATGGTTTTTTGTGGTTTCATACAAATTTCATCAGTATTTGTTCTATTACTTTCAAGAATGTCATTGAAATTTTTAGTGCTCTCCACTTCTCCCGCTCTGTCTTAATTTCTCTGATTTTCTCAGAATATAATTTTCTTTGCAATGAAAGGGAACTTTATTGAGTTGTGCTTCATTTACTGATCATTGACTGGACATCTGTTTTCTGGCCATCTTATATTAAACCTTTAAAGATCTTTACCTATTACGGAAAATTGAATGTTACCTTTAAGGAATATATCCTATCTTGGTTAAACATGGTAATATGCTCTCTTAACTCAGATGATCTAAAGAGGATTCTGTGGATTAATAACTTATTTCCTAACTTTTCAGAAGAATAAAACTCTGAAATATCTAAGAATGACTGGAAACAAGATTGAAAATAATGGTGGAATGTTTTTTGCTTCTATGCTACAAATTAATTCATCTTTAGAGAAATTGGATCTGGGTGACTGTGATCTGGTGAGTATATTAGTTATTAGACAATCACCCACATATGGGATCTTCCTCCCTGGAAACCATCATAGAGAATTATGTAAGAGAATAGCTAATGGCAGTCTTAGAATGACCAAGATTGTTACTAATGCCTAATTAATATCAGAGATAAAGATTTTTTTCCCTCTAAACACAATGCTATTAATAAAATCTGACTGAATAATACTATACAATACCTTCTGTTTATAAACACCCTCCCAACTTTCATCCATAACACTTTTTAACCTGAATGGGATTTTTAAAGAAAAAGATGGTGTTCATTTTAAACAACACTTCATTATGTAATGAAATATTTTATTTTTGAAAAAAAATTCACATTGAATACTTACACTGTAACAAAAAACTAAAGTTGATGCTGAAAGCTGCTCTGAGTTCAAGAAAAGAAAAAATAATGAAACTGGGAGGGGGAAGAAATCTATAAAGGAAAACTGATTAAGCTAACATCAAACTTCTCTGAAGAAACACTATGGGCAAAAAGAGAATATTAAAGAGAGAGAGAGAGAGAATATTAGAAAATTAAAACCAAAAACAAGTCCAAGACAAAAAATGCCAGCCAAGAATACTTTATCCTGCAAAGCTTTTCTTCTCTTATGAGGAAAAAATAAGAACCTTCTCAGACAAGCAAAATCTTTAAAAACTCACTACTACTAAACCCCCACTCCAAGAAATATTACAAAAGGCCTTAGGTTCTAAACCAATAGAGAAATGAACACAAAGCACTGAACAAGAAATAAATTGACTAGAACCACAAAACAGTGAACAAAATGGCAGTAGTAGACTTCCATGAATTAATAACCACCCTAAAAATTAATGGACTAAACTCATCAATAAAAAAGACACCAAGTAGCAGGTTGGATTCGAAAACAGAACCTTATCTTCTTCTGCCTCCAGGAGGAATATCTAAATTCCAAAGATAATCATAGATCGAAAGTAAAGGGTTGGAAAACAATTCTACAAGCAAATGGCACCCAAAAGAAGGCCAGGACAGTCATACTTAGATAGAATAGACTTCCAACTTAAAACAGTGACAAGAGCCATAGATGGACACTCTATAATGATGAAGGGAACAATACACCAGAAAGACATCAAAATGTACTCACCAAATGAGGAAGCACCCTTTATCTAATATGTAATTACTATCATCTCTGAAAATAGACATTGGAGAAAATACACTTGTGGTAGGAAAGTTCAACACCCCACTCAATGGACAGATCAATCTAGTATCCTCTAATCCAGCCTGCTACTCGGTGCATATCAAAGAAGAAATCAACCACAAATAGAGAGCAAGGAGATCCACTATTTTGTGGAGACTGAACAAAATGCAAATGGAAAGACTACTGGGTTAATGAGGAAATCAAAGAAGAAATAAAAATACCTTGAGTCAAATGATAATGAGGACACAACATGTGAGGACATATGGACACAGCAAAAGCAGTTTTAAGAGAAAAGTATAAAGTAATACAGGCCCTCATCAAAAACAAAGAACCCAAAGAAAAAAACCTAGTCTTCCACCTTGAGAAACTAGAAAAAAACAAAAACAAACCCCCAAACACCAGTAGAAGAAAAGAAAAAGTAAAAGTTAAAGCCAAAATAAATGAAATAGAAATAAGAAACAACAGCCCAAAAGATCAAGGAAACCAAAAGCTGGTTCTTTGAAAAAAATAAACAAAATAGACAAACCTCCAGTGAGGCTCACAAAGAAAAAGAGGGAGAAAACTCAAATAAATAGGACCATATATGAAAGAGAAATTACAAAAGACACAGGAGAAATATAGAGGATAATTAGAACATATTATGAACATTTATATGCAAAGAAGTTCAACAATCTAAATGACGGTGACAAATTCTTAGAATTATACAATCACCCAAGGCTGAATAAAGAAGAAATAGAAAACTTAACAAATCAGTTTCATGCAGTGAAATTGAAACCGTAACCAAAAAACTCCCAAAAAACAAAAGCCTAGGACCAGATGGTTTCAAAGATGATCTAATGCCTATCCTGCAAAAACTTTGAAAATGGGGAAAAAGGGAATACTACCCAATACATTTTTTTTAATTTATTTTATTTATACAAGAGCTGGATACATGCCAGATGCACAGGAGGATGAGAGGATTCACCAGAGACAGAGGGGGGAACAGAACAGACAGACTGACTGAAATACACTGCTGAGGGGAGCAGCAGGCGAAATAGGAGAGGTCTGCTCATCATTTGGGTTGCTCCGAGGCCGGTGGGGATCAAACTGGCACTGTAGAGGCTGCGGACAGCTTCACAGCGCTGCGCTCAACCACCTGCGCCACCGGGGAGGCCCCCCAAATACATTTTATAAGGCCAACATCACACTAATAGCAAAATCAAACAATAATAACAACACACAAAAAGAAAACTACAGATCACCTTCCCTAATAAACATGGATGCTAAAATCCTCAGTACAGTCTTAGCAAACTGAATTCAACAATGCATCAAAAGGATTATATGCCAAGACCAAGTGGGATTTATTCTAGGGAAACATGGATGGTTCAACATCCACAAATCAATTAACATAATTCACCACAATGATGAAAACTAAAAACCATATGATCATATCAATAGATGCTGAGAAAGCATTTGATAAAGTTCAACATCCATTTATGATGAAAACTCTTGAAAAACTTGGGATAAAAGGAACATACATTAACATAACAAAGGCCCTCTTTGACAAACCCACAGCTGATATTCTCAATGGTGAAAAATTGAAAGCTTTTCCAATAAACTCTGGAACAAGACAAGGATGTCCACTTTCGCCACAGCTTTTTAATTTAATACTGGAAGTCCTAGCTAAAGCAATTAGGCAAGAGAAAAATATAAAAGAAATCCAGATTGGGAAAGAAGTAAAACTATCTTTATTTGCAGATGATATGATAATATACATAGAAAACCCTAAAAAAAATCACAACAAAACAACCCAATCAAAAAAATGGGCAAAAGAGCTAAAAAGACACTTCACCAAAGAAGAAATGCAAATGGCCTACAGGCATATGAAACAAATAATGTTCAGCATCACATTATTAGAGAAAAGTAAGTCAAAACCACAATGAGATACCACCTCACACCAGGGAGAAGGACCCATAAAAAAAAAAAAATAGAATAAATGCTGGCGAGGATGTGGCAAAAAAGGAACACTTTATACTGCTGATGGGAGAACTATGGGGACTACACCTGAGGGGAGAAATCAAATCTGTCCAAAAATGAGCAATGATATAATAAATTTAAAAAAAAATTTTAAAAAGTCACTTGAAATCATCTACCAAAAATAAAAAAAATAAATAAATAGAAGCTCTCTGCGACTGCATCTGTGAGATAGTGAGAAGTGTATGCTTTTTGCATTTCTCAAATTCCAGGCTTCCTTTTCTCAAGCATGCATTCAAACCTTGAGGGCTATTGTTCAGAACCTGTTGTACAGTTTCAGAATTATGGAAAGTCACTGGGATATGCAAACAATAGATGAACCAGGAGGCTATTGGGGGCAATAGGTTCTGAAGCTTAAAAAGACAGTAGATGCAGCCAGTATGGTTCTGGGTAAGCATTTATTGTCATATTCATTTTTATAGATTGCTTTTTATTAATTTCAAGAGATTATGCTTTTCCATCTATGGAAGTTTTAAATAAATACATTGTATTTTAAAATAAAGAAGTGAAAAGTGAGTTGATTTAATGTAGAAAGTATTAACAGTAACACTTAATGAGTTGATTTAATGTAGAAAGTATTAACAGTAACACTTACTGTTAGTGCAGTAAAGCAAAAATCCTGAGGAAGGTACACGAGTAATAAAATAATGAGTCTGGCAGGTTTAAGAACTCAAAAGTGAAAGTGAAAATGGAGAAATTCACAGCAATGTGGTGTGGATTATGGGTGTGGATCTTGGACCAGTGGAAGGGGGAACTGTGTTGTAAATGAAGTAGCAGAAAGCATGGAAAGGTTTTAAAACTTGAGGAGTGACATGATGTGATGGGTACTTTTAAAAGGTTACAGGTTTCTCTGTAGGGAATTGGCGGGTGGCAGAGGAAACCACTACAATAGCCAGGTGGACAATGAAGATTGGGGGTGTGGTGGTGGCCATAGAGAGGAACTAATTTGAGGCAAAAATCTATGACTTACTGGTCAACTTGATGAAGACAGGTAAGAGGAATGACAGAGGAGAGACCCACAAATAGTTGACTATGTGTGGTGGTGTCCATCACAGAGATGGAGAAGAATAGGCCCTTCCAAGGTGAAGATGGAGGCCTGTAAAATATCTGAAAATTGCATTATTTACCTTTCCCACCACACACATATGAATATGAAAGAATGTTTACATAAATACACGTGTTCAAATAGCGTAGAGCCTTAGCTGGGATCCATATGTGTATCTCTATATCTGAAGTCTGCGTGATATAGAGAACTAGAAGGCTGGAAACCCTGGAGGCAGATATCCTAGGAAATGGATACTGATGAATTTAAGAAATTCCCCAGGTGTGTTGTATACAGATTTTAGGACAGGGAGAAAAGAAGACAATAACAATTCATTTCTGAATTTAATCAACTTATAATTCAGAGTAGGAAATGCTTACATTTTAAAAACACCATTTCATCAGAATCCAGATTACTGACTTTGAAATATTTTTTAGGGAGAGTAATAAATGTACATAGTTTATTAATGAAGTTTATTAATGAAGTTACCTGTTTTTAGGGAATGCAAAGTGTGATAGCATTTGCTACTGTACTAACCCAAAACCAAGCTATTATGGGAATAAACCTAAACCGGCCTATACTGTACGGTGAGCAGGTATGTATCCAAAGCGGTAGCAGTTAATATTACATGTGAATAAAATGAAGGTACTACGAAGCTTACGTCAAGGTTCATGAATGCTTTTTATTTTTTAGAATTGTACTAATATTTACAAAGAAAAGCTTTTGTAAGGAAAATTATTCTTGACAGGACTTCCATAACTAAATAAATTAGATATTGCTTATTTAAACTGTAAGCATGCCATCTGTTTTTCTCGGGAACTCAAATTCTCAGTGAATAAATGTGTGAGGAACAAGTAAAGATGAAAGCATAAATGATTGAGGTTGTAAAGGGTGGTTTATAAAAACCCCGTGTGAAATGGTTTCTTTTGGGTTTTTTTTTCATTTCTTATATTGATATGACTGAACCTTTACATCTTGAAATTATGAGTAATAATGGCTAAATAATCTAGGTGGCAGTCTAGATCCTGGACTTGGCCCTGCTGGCCGGCTGCATGCTGGACAGAGAAAGATGAGCAAAAACATGACTTCTGTTTTCAAAGCTGCTTCTATTCTTTAACATTTTCCTAGGGTTTTCCTCCCTTATCAGCTGCAAACAGATAAGGAATAAAAACTCATTTTATCTAAATGAAGAGACATATCTTGTATCTTAAAAGAAAAGGATCAAAATACTTTATGTACTTTAATCTACCTAATTGTTGCCCATGAGGATGAGTAATTGAGAATTAACTGTCAAAGCACATCATCCTTGTCTTCATGGAACTTTCAGTCCACATGGAGAGAGATGGATAATTCTGGAGAGTGATGCTTCAGGGTGCCTTGGGAGCCTGAGGAAAGATGTTAAAAAATGCAGGGAGAAAAAAGGTAGCAAGACTTGGAGGCTAAATCAAACTTTTCTGATTTAAAGCCCTGAGTAAGTAATATGTTAAACTATATGAAATATTAGAAGCACGGTTCATTTAAATATTGAGTGGAGTCATTTTCCCCAAACCCATCTGAATGGTTATTATTATTATTTATTTATTTATTTATTTATTTTTTTACATAGAAGAGCTGAGATGTAGGCCAGATGTACAGGGGGTTGAGGATTCACCAGAGACAGAGTGGAGAGCAGAACAGGCAGATTTACTGAAATAAACTGCTGAGGGGAGCAGCTGGTGAGACAGCAGAGGTCTGCTGTGCCTTATGTGGGTCACCTCCCTGGCTGGGGATCGAACTTAGGCCATAGTGGTGACAGCGCTAAGACTTAACCCCTAGGCCACCAGGGAGACCACTGAATGGTTATTAAAAGCCCAGTGCCTGTTTTCAGACCCAGCCTTAACTCTCAGCTTGGTATTTCTGGACAGCCAACTTAACTCCAGCTTGCTCTCTACTCCTTTTCAATGCAGCTACCACTCTCACTACTCCTAAGGTTACTCATTCTTCTCTTAAATGACTAAGAATCCTCTGATGCTTCCTCATACTTCGCTGTTCCCAAATATAACCCACAAACCTATTTCACTTAAGGGTTTTATTGTGCATTACCATGAACAAAGAGGATTAACAAAATAAAAAGCTGTTAAATGTTGGCGTTCAGGTCCTCCCCTAGTGGCGAAGGTGGTTGAGGGCAGCGCTGTGAAGCTGTCTACAGCCTCTGCAGCGCCGGTTCGATCCCGGCTGGCCAGTGAGGGTCCCACAGGGTGCGGCAGACCTCTCCTGTCGCGTCTGCTGCTCCCCTCAGCAGTGTATTTCGTCACTGCCTGTTCTGTTCCCTGCTCTGTCTCTGGTGAGTCCTCTCACCCTCCTGCGCATCTGGACTGTACCCTGGTTCTTGTATAAATAAATAAATAAATAAATCTTAAAAAAAAAAAACAAAACATGCTTTAAAAAAAAAATGTTGGCGTTCACCTTTGATTGCTCATTAGCATTATCTGTAGAGTTACCAATGCCAGGTGCCACCCTTAGAAAATTAAATGACAAACTCAGTGAATGCAACTAAACCTTTACTGTTTCTTTACTAGTTCTTCCTCTTAATAAGGATGGTCCTTTCAAACTCCTTGATCTAAAATGCAATCAAGGCATGAAACTCAAATATGTATTGCATATGCCCAGGCATGTAGAACAATAGTGAGCCTAAGCAATCAGTTTGCATTTGAGATCCCGGACTATATCTTGCCTTAGTGTGTATCTTTTCAGTGTCAAAGCAATAATTTAAACAAATCAGATAGAGGATTATAGAATATTGATCAATAAATAAAACTTGCAGTCTTTCATAGAACAGTTTATTTTGTGCCAGTTGCTTTTGATGACTAAATTCTGTGAGGGAAGTGTAATTCCACAGAAAAGGAAAATGAGCTCAGCTAGATGAAATGATGTACCTAAAGATTCACCACTAGCAAAGTTTAAGCTAGCATTTGGACAGTCTTTGATTATTATAAAGTTCTTTATAAAGCTCAAATACGCAACTGCTTTGGTTTCATTTCATTTTCAAAGTTTGTCTCAAAGTACTCTTACACAAGATCATGTATAATTCATGTTCATGATCGGAATTTAGCCTAAACACAGCAATCAGGTGAGAATACTTCTCTACCATAAAATATTGTGGTCCGTTCAGAACATGCTCTGATTTCATTTAACATTTGAAGTTCTGCTTGGTACTTAGAACATTATTAAGGTTGTGAAGCAGCCAGACTTTGGAATTAAAGTCTTTTTTTGGCCAAAAAATGAGAGTAAAGCATATTTCAAACTTTAGAATATTATAAAAGAAAGGAATCAGATACGTCACCGGATTAATGAGTATATTTTTAAAATAAAATCACGTTTGGGAAGTGTCTTTGTATTTTATCTAAAAAGTATTAAGATTTGCAATCAAGAGCATAGTTTAGGAACGTAGAGGGTGCAAGAAAGGCTTAGAGACTCTTGAGAGAATAGCGTGGAGCTTATACACTGAATACATAATGGAACCAGTTTTTTTTATTTAAATATTTTATTATATATAATTCTTACATCTTTTTTCATCTTTGCACAATGTATGCATTTTCATTTTGGTTATATTCCCCATACAATTGCACCCCTCCCCTTATTTTGACTCAAGTCCTTCCTTTCCCCACCTCACCCTCCCCATCTCCCCCGTAGTGTGTCTCTGATTTATAGTTGCTTGTTGATTTTGATTTTCACTTTGTATTGATTAGTCTTTTTCCTGATCTCTTATTTAGGTTTTCTAAATTCCTGCTATGAGTAAGACCATCCGATATTTTTCTTTTTCTTTCTGGCTTATTTCGCTGAGCATGATCCCTTCTAGCTCCATCCATGTTGCTGCAAACTGCATGTGTTTATCTTTTTTAATTGCTGAGTAATATTCCATTGTGTATATGTTTTTTTTTTTTTTTTATGTTTGGTATTGACTTTTTTTTTTTTTTTAACATCATTTTTTTTTTTTTTTTTTTTTTTAAATAATAAATTTTATTTTTATATTCCCCCATACAATTGCAAACGCCCCATTCTGACCCCAATCCTTCCCCTCCCGCCCCCCACCCCCCAAAAAGTGTCTCTGGTTCATAGTTTTTTGTTGATTTTGATTTTCACTTTCTTATATTCATTTTCCTGGTCCCTTATTTAAGTTTTCTAGATTCCTGCTATGAGTGAGACCATCCGGTATTTTTCTTTTTCTTTTTGGCTTATTTCGCTGAGCATGATCCCTTCCAGTGCCATCCATGTTGCTGCAAATTGCATGTGTTTATCTTTTTTGAATGCTGAGTAATATTCCATGGTATATATGTACCACATCTTCTTGATCCAGTCATCTATTTTTGGGCATTTGGGTTGTTTCCAAAGCTTAGCTATTGTAAACAGTGCTGCTATAAACATAGGCGTGCAGGTGCTCTTTGGAATTGATGTTTCTGTGTCCTTTGGGTAAAGACCTAGGAGTGGAATTGCTGGATCATATGGAAGCCCTATGTTTAGTAGGTCCAGAAATCTCCACACAGCTCTCCATAGTGGTTGGACCAGTTTGCACTCCCACCAACAGTGCACAAGAGTTCCTTTTTCTCCACATCCTCGCCAACATTTGTTGTTGCTAGTTTTTTTAATATGTGCCATTCTCACTGGTGTGAGATGGTATCTCATGGTAGTTTTGATTTGCATTTCCCTGATTACAAGTGATGTTGAACATTTTTTCATATGTCTGTTGGCCATTTGCATTTCCTCTTCAGAGAAGTTTCTTTTTAGCTCTTCTGCCCATTTTTTGACTGGATTATTTTCTTTGTTGTTGCTGGGTCTCATCAGCTCTTTGCAGATTTTTGTGATCAGTCCTTTATCATTAGTGTTGGGTGCAAAAATGTTCTCCCAGTTGGTGGGGTTTCTCTTTGTTTTTGTTATTGTCTCTTTTGCTGTGCAGAAGCTCTTTAATTTGATGTAGTCCCAGCTGTTTATCTTTCTCTTCACTATCACTGCTTTGGGTGATGTGTCTTTAAAGATGTCTTTGATGTGCAAATCCCGTAGTGTTTCGCCTATATTTCCTTCTATGTATTTTATGGTTTCAGGTCTTATGTCTAGTTCTTTAATCCATTTTGAGTTGATTTTTGTGTATGGTGTGAGGTAGTGGTCAAGCTTCATTCTTTTGCATGTAGCGACCCAGTTTTCCCAGCACCATTTATTGAACAAACTTTCTTTGCTCCAATGCATAGTCTTTGCTCCTTTGTCAAAGATTAGTTGACCATAAATCTGTGGGTTTATTTCTGGATTTTCTATTCGATTCCATTGGTCTGTATGTCTGTTCTTGTTCCAGTACCATGCAGTTTTGATGATTATGGCTTTGTAGTATAGTTTGAAGTCTGGGAGTGTGATGCCTCCATTTCCTTCTTTTTTTTTCAGTAGAGCTTTGGCTATTCGGGGTTTTTGGTGATTCCATATAAATTTCATCAATAATTGTTCTATTTCTTTGAAGAATGCCATTGAGATTTTGATTGGAATAGCATTGAATCTGTATATTGCTTTTGGAAGGATGGCCATTTTAATAATGTTTATTCTTCCAATCCATGAGCAGGGGATGTCTTTCCA